TCTCTGTCTCTGTCTCTGTCTCTGTCTCTGTCTCTCTCTCTCTCTCTCTCTCTCTCTCTCTCTCTCTCTCTCTCTGTCCCTCCCTCTTTCCCTCTCTCCCTCTCTCTCTCTTCTTTGTTCAAGACAGAGACATTAATTAACAGCCAAAAGTCTTACAGAGGAAGGGTAATCTCCTGGACCAGGTGTCCATTCTGGGCCAGACACTAACTTAAACGAAGGTCCTATTTTTAGGTCCACTGAGCAGTGTGGAGCGTTAACCCTGTATGGGACGCTGAGCGGCCCTCCAGGGGCTCTTAGGGCTCAGCACAGCCCAGTAGGTGATGTAGCTCACTGTGAAAAGATGTCATTATTATCCAAAGACTAGGGTAGAAAGGGGTGACCAATGTACATGGGCCATATTTACATTTTTCAATACTACATTAAAATTAATCCCCTCCAGCCCCTCTCCCTCACTCCAACACTCTGGTCCCCTGGTGCTTGTTGCCCTCTGAAGCAGCTCTGGGAGGCCTCTTTCGTGAGCGTCTGTACACGGTATGGCTTCCAGCCCTGCCTCGAAGTCAGAGTAACCATGGAAGGAAAACATTTTAAATCTACGCAGCAAGGTGGCCGAGACAGCACAACTAAAGACGCTCAGGAGCAAGGACTCTAGAGCTGCTGCAGGAGGTAGCCAGGGCCATGGGAAGGGTGTGGTGGGGACAAGGCAGAGGAACCTGAGAGAACAACGGGAAGGGGAGGCGTTAACCATGCGGGGATCACACTTCCTAACTGGAGGAGGGAGGGGAAGCCAGCCTGGGGGGTCAGAAAGGACTTTTCTGCAGGAGGGGCAAGGCCACCAGGGTGGCACTTGGCAGGGCACCAGGGGTGCTGGGAACCAGAGGAAGAGAGTGCAGGGCAGGAGCGAGGGAGCTGGACAGGGGGAGCATGCGGGAAGGAAAACACCCACAAGCACTGCTCCTGCGGCCCGGAGGGAGCAGGTAGGGGGCCGGAGGGCACCCCGAGTCACCTGCAGCCTCTGCAGTCGCAGGCAGCCCTAAGACCCCGTGAGCCTCTCCCTGAGCTCGCCCAGTGCGGCCCTGAGGATGGAACCATCCTAGGGAGCCCCGAGCGGCGGGGCAGCGTGGGCACCGGCGCCAGGGCTTCTTGCCCGAGCTGATCTTTCACAGGTCTGTGTTATTTGCTAGAGATAGAGTACCCCACAGTTAACAGCTGCGCTGTCTGCTACTACGGACTGGAATTGATGAAGCAGGCGTTCAGGAGACGCTGGCTGGCATTCTTACCTGTAACGATGCCCGGGCCACAGGGGTTGCGTGCGGGCAGCGTGGGCAGTGTGGGCCTTCGCACGGGCAGCAAGGGGCAGGCAGAGGTGGGGCACGGGAGGAGGGCGGCGTACAAATCCCCACACCCCACCGGCGCCTTCCTGATGACCACGAGCAGACCCCGGGCAGCAGGATGGATACAGAGCCCAGGACCCAAGAGCCGCGGGGGCCAGGCTCCTACTCTGCTCGCCTGGGGAGTCTGCGCCGCCCGCCCCAGGCCTTGGTTTTCTCAAACATAAAATGGGCACACTGATATGATAAGTGGCGATGAGCGCAGCAGTGCAGTCGCGAGGCCTCAAGCGCCACGCCGGCTAGTCTGCACAGCAGTGCCTGGCTGTCCGCCAGGGCCGGCGCGCGTAAGCATCTGACACTGTCCCTGCGCGCGACTTCCGAGAGGCGACCTCTAGGGGCCACGGCCAGCATCTGAGGACACTCAGCAAGCTGTGCCCTGGGAGGCATCTGAGGCTCCTGTCCATGACACACAAAGCTGCCAGCTGAACACGGGAAGGGCCCGCAGACGTGGAGGGATCAGGTGGGCGGCTGCCGCCCCCACATCCGGTGCTCCTCGGAAACTGCATTCCCATCCCAGCCGGATGAGGCCACCTTCCTGTCCTGAGCTGGGTCTCCTGGGCCAAGGTGGAGCCCTCCTCTGAAGCTGCCTCTCTCCCAAGGACACACAGGACCCTGTGGGTCCCCTCCTAGCACTGGGCCTCCGGTACCTGCCTTTCTGCAGCGCTCCTGTGCTGTGCTGTCCCTCCTCCATGCTGTGTCCCTTCCTGACCAGTCCTGTCTGTGCCCAGAGCCTTGGCAGTGGCCACCTGGGATGCTCTGAGCCTGGGACCCTGTGGCTATGGGAGGACAGGGGCCCCGAGCCAGCCCAGAGGCCCAGCAGGGTCTTTATCTGGTCCTGAAGGGATCTCTGGTCCTCTGGGACTGTCAGTGAGGTCCGGGGGCACCCTGACCCTCTCCGGGAACTGCTGCCACCATTCTGGAAAGGGCCCAGGGAACAGCTACCAAGATAAGAATTTCCAAGCCCACTGAGCCTGCATCACATTTTGGAAATTTATTCTGCAGAAATAAAACTGCCATAAGGAAGGAAGCAGAGAGCTGTATTATTGTAACACCGTTCTGTTCATAGTGGCAAAAATTTTGGAAGTAATTTGCCTGTCAGAGAGGGAAGGGCTGTTGTGAGAGTGGTCACTCTGGTCACGGACATTCTGCAGTTGTTCAGGTAAGCTAAGGCCCCTGCCCGGCATGGCGTAGGGCTCTGACATGTTCTTGGATGAAAAGGGAGATGCTTTGCGCAGGAATGGGGGGAGGTGGCTCCAGTTTTATAACAGTTTTATATACATCTGTCTCCATATGGTTTATTTTGGGAACATACAGACAATGACTAAAGTATTCATTGGTCCAGTGAAAGGATTGGTCCCAAGCACTGAGCTTGGGGGAGGCAGATCCCTCGTTCTCCCTCACTGCAACTGCGTGGCACCACTCACACTTATGTTTATAATTTTAAAAGGAAAATTCCTTTTAATAATATCAGCTGTGAAGCATTAAAAATTCAGATTCCTAGGCAGCAAGGGTGGACGCCAGCTTGATTGGCTTGGGATCCCTGTGGCGATGGCGGAGCTCTCCTCTGATGTGCCCGGGAGTCCTCCAGCCAGGGCCTGGCTCTGCCTCTGATCCCTGGCCCTCCTCCTGCCCGGCTGTCCGGGGCCACATCCTCCCTGTGAGGCACGTGCCTTGGAGCCAGCTGACCATAGCCCACGTCTCCTGGGAACACAAGCCACATCGGCCACTCCTCCTGGGTCGTGGGTACTACGTGTGGCATCTCAGCTGGCCTGTGCCCTGGCCCTGCCTCCACCTGGCCACTGAGTGCCACTGTGGAAATGCTGCCCAGGCACCGGCAACAGGAGGGGCTGGTCTGGTGCCTCAGGGCCCAGGAACCCCATAGGTCACTGTAGCAGCGTGAGGTGCAGGACTGTCACCTCAGGGCCTGTGACCCCTCCAGAGTCCCAGAATATTCTGGGCCTTTGTCTTGCCCATCGCCAGGTTTGAGTCAGGGACAGCTGCCAGGGACATTGCTGCCTAACGAACTCTGACACCAGGTAGTTGTCACAGCTGCCAAGGCTCTGGCCCACCTGCCTGCTTTCTCTGTCCTCTCCTGGAGAAGAGGAGGGTGGGAGGTGGGAGGGACAGGTCTCAAGCGCATGCTCTGGGCCTCAGTCTCCCCAGCTTGGGCTTCACTAGAACTCCATGTCCCAGGAGTGAGCCAAGTCCCTGGGCTCCAGGCCAGGGGATTTGTGTGTGAGGTTAAGAGCACAGGCTCTTAACAGTGACAGGGTGGCATCTGCCTCACCTTCGCCCTTGCTGCAGGACAGATGGCCACATGACACGCAGTGTGCCAGGAGCCACACCTCCCTGGTCTGCAGCTCTCTCCTTCTGTGCCCCTGTGATGTGGCAGGCCTGGGGCTGTCGCCACCCCTTCCTGGGTCCTAGACACAGTGGCCCACAGAGACAAAGACCTGTGTAGTCCTGTGCTAGCCCGGGCTGGTCCTGCATTTGAGCTCTGAGCTCCACGGGCCACACAGCAGGTGGAAAGCGGGGCATGGCCACGTGTCAGGCCCCAAATCAGAGGACGTCCAAGCAGTTGGCCAGCTCCAAAGATGTCAGCAGGTTTCCCAGCTGCCAGCGTGCTGGCCAGCAGAGGGGACAGTGCCCTTCCAGCTGTGAGGGCCACCGGGCTCATGTTGCCACACTGGTGTGGAGCACACAGTGCACCCACAGGCAGCCCTGGGCTCTCCACCCTGCTGGCAAGAGGACCACCCAGGATGTCCAGGTCCCCCTGCAGGACAGAGCCTTTCCCAGGCCCCTCATGACAAAGACACAAGACCATCACTAGACCCTCCCGAGGGTGACCCCTTTGCAGGGAAAGGGAGCTATGGGCCACCTGCAGCTAGTGGGCAGTGTGGCCAGCCATGTCCTGAGGGCACTGTCACCTTGCAGGGGCACCAGAGTCACGGAGCCCACAGGGCTACAGAAAGGTCAGGGTGGCACCAAAGAGACTGAGGTGGGGTTTTGTGTGGCAAATGTCACCCCTACCCATTCAAAGAGGGCAGAGATGGCCCTGACTTGGAGGACATGAGCAGGACTGGCTGAGACCCTGGAAACCTCGTAAACACATGAGCAAAGCTGGGCCTTCAGCCGGGCATAGGGGTGCTCACTGTGATCCCAGCACTTGGAGGCTGAGGCAGGAGGGCTGAGAGTTCGAGCCCAGCCTGGGCAATTCAGCTACTTAGTGAGACCCCATCTCCAAATAAAAAGTAGAAAGAAAAAGCAGGAAGGCTGGGGCTGGAGCTCAGTGCAGAGGTCCAGATTCGAGCCCATTTTCTCAAACACCAACAAGACGAAACCAGGGCTGGGCCTGAGGCCAGCCTTAGAAATTTAGCTCAATTTCTAAGCTAAAAAAAAAAGTCCCCTGGGGAAGGACAGAGCCCTCCATACTTCTTTCTCAGTGTCTGCCTGGTTTCCAAGAAGGTCCAGCAACAACATCGGCCAGTGTAAACTGGGTCCCCAGTGATGTGCTCCCCAGGGGCCTCAGCCTTGGCTTTTCTCTAGCTCATTCTCCTGGAGTCCCTGACCCCCCATTAGCCATTCTGCAGGCAGGGTGATGATGGCGCTGTCATCTCCTGGAGTTGTCCTGCCTGTGCCGGCAGCCAGGGTGACACGCCTGGCTTCTAGGGGACTAGGACAGCACCCCTCCCATGCCCCGGGCATGCCTGCGCATGCCGGCCCTGCTCTGCCCTCCGCAGGGTCCCCTCGCTGGACACTGAAGCAGAGGCTCCGGGTCCCACTGACCTTGAGGCTGCAGGCGTCACCACGTCCTGCTGGGCACTCGCACAGCTGAGAAGTGTCAGGGGAGCCGCCCCAGGGCTGCAGGAGGCCAACGCTGGGCGGGGCCTGGGGACACAGGGCCAATCCTGGGCCGCCTGAGGGCGCCCCTTGCTGGCAGTGCCCTTGAAGGCACGGCCCTGGGGCCTGGGCCTTTCTAGCACCTGCTCTTTCTCCCAACCATCTCCCCGCCCAGGAGGAGCCAAGCAGGCCCCAGCTGGGCCCAGACCTGGTAGGGCTGCCAGGGCTGAGACCCAGGCAGGGAGCCCAGAGAAGCTACACTTTGGGGCTCCTCTCAGCAGCCGCCGCAGCCTTGGGGCCCTATCTGGAGAGTAACCGCCATGCGGTGGTCAGAGAAGAGGAAGCCTCCTAGCCAGGGCTGGAGGGACGACTTTACGACTCTCCCTCTGTCTAGACCAAGGTGCAGGACCAGCCGCTTCTCCCCTCCACTTAGTCCACCACGCAGAAGGCCCGCAGCCTGCCTCTGAGCTTAAAAATAGCCCTGCTGGCATCACCGCCAAGCGGAAAGGCTGCTGCAAATAGCAGTGACCCGCCAGGACTCTGGACGGTGCACTGCCAGCTGGACATGGAGGCCTGTGGGGCCGCCACGGCCACGCGCACGTCCCCAGCTCATTCCTGTCTCTGGGCCAGCCGGGCTACAGGACGTGGCAGAGCAGGGATGTCCAACACAAAAGACAGATAGGAAAAAAGATTAGGAAAGTCGGAATTTTAAAATTATCCTTTTAGGACACGAGCCCAGCTTAGCCTTTCTTCTGCATGTCCCAAGACACAGTGAGCCCGAGCAGCCTCCTGTCACGCGCTGCTTCTCTCTCGCCTGGGGGCAGAGCACCTTTCCCACCCACAGCGTGTGCTTTCTTTGCTGACCTCGCCTGCCAGAAAGCAGCGACATCCGAGGCCAGCGAGGCCAGTGGATCTCAACTTGAACTGGGTGTCAACGGCCTGCAGGATGACACGGCCCGCTAGATAGGCGACCGGCTGTCAGCAGCGGCTCACACTGCGACACCTCCCTGTGGTGAGCATGTGATGGATGAAGCTGCACCCAGCGAATGAGGGGTGCACAGCCTTGAAGGGGTGAACGACCGACACTGGGAAGGCCCACCTGGCACCACCCAATAGGAGTGCAGCGTGGGCGGGACAAAAAAGGAAAGCGGTTTCCAGCGCAGACTCCGGCGACTCCGCAGTGAGCAGGCCTTCGATGTGCTCCAGGAGCACCGATGGATGACCCATCTCGAGGTCCCGCCCACAGCCCCGCAAATGTACCCAGCTCCCCAGCAGAGGGCGTCTCTGAGGATCTGCCCTCAGCTCTGAGTGCGAAGCTCTCCCGGATCAATCCTTGATGCCTCTTGCTGGCGCGTCCTGCAGATCCTTGTCCCCAGGAGGAGTCGTGAGCCTGAAACTTGGTTCTACGGGAAGCGTGGGCTTAGAGCCTCCGAGCACACTGCCTGGGGACAATCTGGACAGCGAAGCTGACTGGGCAGGAGGCACCCTTCCTGAGGCCACACTGTGCCCAGCAGTGTACCCCTGCCACCCTCAGCTTCGGACCACTTCCTCCACCTGACAGACAGAAGGTGCCCTCACTCCTTGAACTGCTGCGTGGTCCCAGGGATACACAGGAACCTTGCTGAGGACCAGTTTCAGGGATTCAGGGGCCACCAGGGCTCAAGATATGGGACCCTTGTCTGAGTTCCCTCCAGTTCTCTGGTAATTTCCTGCCTGCCACCTTGGGTTCCTCTAATCTGTTCTTCCTGTGAATTTCAGAATACCTGAAGGAGCCCAACACTATGAAGCAGACAACATGGACAAATCTGAGAAGGGCTAAGGGAAGCAGCCACGAGCATCCAAGAAAGGCAAAGTTTATTTTGCATATAGGCATCACCTACACCTCCGCCTGCAAGTGTCTGACACAGCACAAATCCCTCGGTTGGAATTGCAGATACAGCAGATCTTCAGGCAATTGGACACAAACAATATGCTACACACACACACACACACACACACACACACAATAAAGAATTATGGTCAGCTGCTCTGCCAAGGGGAGCTGAGGATGACACAAGGCTACCACCTCCCTCGGGGACAGTGCCTCACACTGTCAGTCCACAGCACCCTGCGAGGTAGCAGCACAGCAATTACTCTCAGCCCCTGCGTGCAAATGACAAAGCTGAGGCTGAGAAAGGTACAGACACTGGCCTAAGATTTCCCAGCTCCTGGGTGTGAATCCCAGCGTGGACTCAGTGTGCAGGTACCCAGCTCTCCACTTCCGTAGCAGCTTTCGGGAGAGACGCTGAGTGGGTTTGGGAGACATGAGCTTTGACACCATCACAGCAGGCCATTACCTCTTCAGGCAGCAGAGCCCTTCGGGCAGCCAACCCTTGGAGTCTTTCTTACTGCAGCCCTGAGGCAGATGAGATGCTCTTCTGATGGCTTGTGCCTATACTTCCAACAGCCCCGTTTTCCACTTCTGCCTGCTGTGCATTAATGTGACATCACTGAGGGTCAGTGGTGTTGATGTCCAGTTCTTACTGAACCTTACAAACTTATTTGTAACATGTATCTCATCCACCAATTCTCACTATGTGTAGTAGCTTCACAAATAGTATGTTACCTTTTGCCATTTTGATACTAGCAAAATTTTTGCACACTGGATAAAAGAAACCTTACATTTTAAAATGTAGAGACCCTTTCGGGGGAATTAGACCAAACTTTGAACGGAAAACACCACACAGAATGGTTTGATTTTAACTCAAGCTAACTTCAAGGATAGCCTCTCTCTTGCAAGATTCTTGGTTAAGAACTTTGGCCCCTGGTGGCCTGAGACCTCCCCACATCACATAGCGCTAAGGAGAGGCAGCCCCATCACCCCCAATGGGCACGGGCTGGGAGTCGCTCTTCCGACGTACCCAGCATCCACAGCCTCCACTTGCTGATACGGAATCCTTCAGGGTGCACAGAAGATTAGTAGGCCACTGCTGGGGCTCTGTGTGGGAGCCCTTCTCAGCTGCAACAGCAGGTTCAACATTCCCTCTTGACATCCTTCCGAGGAAACACTAAGAGAACGGGATGACGCTCCACTTCATGCCCAAATCTGTCCAATGGCACGTTGGCTTAGGCAAAGATGGGTCCCGACAGCACACCTGGATGTCATCATTAAATTTGCAAGGCATCCCCTAAGATCGCCCGGATGATTCCACGGAGAGCACAACACAGGAGTATGCATATGAAAGCACGAAGGGCAATTTTACTTCTGAAGCCAGGCTCACTCGGGCTGTTGGAGGCTGGCCTCCACTCACTGCAGGTCTCCCAGCACCAAAGCTGAGCAGGAGGAGCTGTGGGCTTGGGTGTGAGCTCGTGCTCGTGTCCCAGCAGACACACAGCTGGAAGGAGACAGGGACAGAAAGGATGATAGGACTCCAACACCAGAAAAGACACACACACTGCGCTGGGGGGTTCCAACGTCAGGAAACTGAGTTTATTTGTTTGCTAACTATCAGCTGGCTGCAGTGGTGCAGGCCATTGGGGGTGGACTCCCTGGGGAGTGGCCTTCAACATCAGCACGACAGCTGGCAGTACCTGCGCATAGCCACTGGGAGGTGCATCCTACACTCAACAGGACTCAGCTCCAGGGCTTTCCCGCTGGTGGGAAGAGCCACGGGCAGAAGCGGAGGAGCGCTGGAAATTGCTCCGCTTTTTCTTAAGAAGCTGGTTGCAACACCTCTGGGTGAGACTCTGGGGCAGAGGAATAAGAGTCCAAATCTCCAAGAAAAATGGACAGAGTCGCAGTCTTCCCTCTGGAAGGCCACAGGGCACCACAGCAGAGGACGGGGCGCCCAAACTAGTACCTGGTCCTCTCCCAGGGCGGTCCTGCTTCTTGTCCTCCTTCTGTGGCTGGAGCCATGAAAGCTCACCTGCACTTTCCTCCTCTTCTGCAAGACCTGGAGGTGTGTGGTGCCCTCAGCTTCTGAGCACTGAGGGATAAATCCGGAGGGTGCATCGTCAGAATCCCACAGCCCTTGCTGCGCTTCATGCATCAAGATGGGTCGGCCTCTTACTTAAAATCAAAGGGAGCAAACAAGCGACATTCTTATAAAAATAAAGCATCCATAAAGAAATGTCCAGCTCAGTGCTATGCTGTTGTGAGCGAGGGAGAAGATCTTTGGGGTGGTCTTCGTGTATGACGAATAATTTCTCTGACTTCACTATAAGATTATGTCCAGAGACAACCCCGGCCATGCAGCAAGCTGCCTCCCCTGACTCCATGGTGTGCTCTCTGGCCGACTCGGGCAGCAGGTCCTGAGAGCCAGCGGAGGACTTAGTAGCCAGCTGTTAACCACATAGTAGAAGTGCAAAGAGAGTGAAAACAGCCAGCCAGATGGATTCTTGATTGTCAGCATCAGTAAGCTTCATGCCTCTAAAAGAAAGGATCAGGCTCAGCGGGTGCAGGAAGGAGCAGCACAACACCGATTTCTCTGGCGCAGGGCAGCAATAGTCACCCTGGGAAGAGCGAGGTAAACCAGAAGACAGCCCTGCTTCCCACACTGTCCACTGCCGCCTTGGAAAAGCGCCCCCCCCCGAGCCCCTGGCAGCAGGATGGGGCCGGGTAGCTGTTTTCTTCTGGCAGAGCTGTTGGGTGTGTGGATCCGTGTCCCCTGCACCAACACCAGAATGCTCTAAAAGCATTGTCAACGGGGGATAGGAGGCCATCTACAAGCAGCACATGGCAGCATGGGTTTTCGAAAGAAAATCCAACCAGATGGCTTTTTAAAAACACAAGCAATGTTTGTGGCAAGCCTATGTGTAATCAGAAGAGAGCCCTGCAGTACTTTGGGGGGGAAGAAGTCAAAGCAGCAGGCGTGGAGGTGGGTGTCAGCTGCGTGCGCTCAGGGAGCAGCCAGCCTCCTCACGCCGCAGCACTGCGGCCTCCTGCCTGAGCTGCGTCGGCCCTGCACTGTCTGGGGACGTAGCTTCTTGAGGCCACCAGTCTCAGAAAGAGGCCCCCTCTCTTGCTCTTGAGGAAGTGCTACCAACAAACGCACCTGGGTTTCACCATTTTGTTCTTGTCCTGCTGCCGGGACACACTGCTCCTCTGATGTGACAATTCGCCATGCACATGCTACACACGGACACTGTATGCCAGCCCTAGGAGAACGCTTGTGGCCATGGGGAATGGAAGCAGTTAAGTCCTAGGAGACTGTGGGTGCATCGCAGCTGGTCAAGTGCCACCAGGCGTGTTCTGGGTGTCCTTGTCCCCGAGTCCTCCCAGGACATGGGACAGAGGGACATCTACCTTGTGTACAGTGTCCCCTTGTACCATCCAGCAAGTAAAATGTGCGGCACCCTTCCCACCCAAGGCCGAAGTGCCCATCTTCGACCCGCACAGCTGGGTTGCGTTCTGGCCCAGACACAGTCCAGTCCGGTTCCATCTTCTTCGGTGGAGAGAGCAGCCTGGCTTCATCTCCCTGTCCCCTGTGCACAGTGTGATACGTGAAAGCATGATTCCTTCTGTCCCACTCTCCGTGGTGGCAACACCAAGGTCTCAGGGAAAGGCCAGGTCTTCAGGCAGGGAGTCGAGGCTCAATCTTCAGTGAGAGCTCATAGAGCGTATCTTCATCGATGATGAGGGCCTTATCAAGCAAGTACTGTGTGACCTGGGGGAAAAATCCCAGAGACGTTCTGTGAACACAGTGCAAAGCAATTCGACATGTGTTCTTACGCATTTTAAACATTTAGGTAACTAAAGAAACATCACCATAGTGCTAATTATCAAGTTGGTTTGGGAGCCATCCAGGGTACTGTTGGAGCTCACTTCTGGGGGTGTCTGGGGTCACAGAGCTGAGCTGTGGGGACCATGTGTGGGCCCTCACCCTCCCACTTGGGCACTGATCTCTTGTTCTGCTTCCTTCTGCTACAAGCTGAGCAACTCTGCTCCACCTCACCTGTCCACCATGATTTCCTGCCTTGGAGGCAAGGTCCATGAACTGCACCCTCTGAAGCCATGAGCCAGTGAACCCATTTTCTCCTTTAAATTGTGGGGGCAGGAATTGTGTTCCAGCAACACGAAAGGTGATTGATACAGATATGCCGTCATGGAGGGATAACAACACACACCTCTAGTCTCCTGTCAGCCCCAGCCTCAGGGAAGACCTGTGACAGCTTTTATCTAGATAGCCTCCTCATGCACGCACAGGTGGGGCTCTGGGAAGTGACAGGATCATAGGTGTGACACTGGGTCAAGGATGAGATACTGGATCACGAGACGCTGGATTGGTCCACTGCTGGGTTCATAGCTGGGAGTGAGGTTGGGAGGTGAAGCTTGGTGGGAAGAAGCGGGTCACCATGGGCATGGCCTGGAATTCCTATGGCTGTGAATGCTTGCTGCTGCCTGCCAGCCCTGCCATGAACCCTTTCTCCTCCGTGATGCTGCCCTGGCCTGGAGCCAGTGGACCATGGACTGAAACCTAACAAGCCACAAGCCAAAACAAACCTCTCCTCTTTTAAATTTAAGGGAGCTGGGTGCTGTGTCTCAGCTCAGGAAAGTAACTAAGGTGGGACCCATAAGAAGCTGGCTGCGATCATGTGTTCTGCATGCCCTCTGATGTTCAGCTGTGTCCTTACACACATTATGTGTCTTACGTTTGCCCTTATACTCGTAAGCAGCATCTTACTGTACACTGTGTTCCCCACTCCCCCCCACTGAATTCCAGGGAGCTCCGCGTCAGCCCACACAGTACTGAGAGTTACTGATACTCATCTTGTGGAAGATGAGGAGCTGCCCTCAAGGTGTCCCTGTTACCCAGTGAAGGAGAAGTCCTGGAGATGTGTCCGCCACTGCTCATGTGTCCCAGCTGGGTGGGCACCACAAGGAAACGAAGAACGCCCGAAGAGTGCTCGGGGAGGGAGTGCTTCCAGGAAAGCATTTTCTTATTTTTGTTGAAATCTAACATATGTATGTCATTGAAATGAGTAGTTGATCAGCTGTGAGAACACAGCCCCAAGTCACTTGTGTAGATACACATGACACAGAGCCATCCATTGCCCTGAAAGGCCCCTTGTGCTCCATCCGGGTCATGTGCTCCTGGCAGCCTCTGTGCTTTAATCTTGTGCCTCAACAGCTCCGCGAACATAGATGGTGCAGCGGGCACAGCTCCCTGCTTGGCTCCTTCCACCCAGCACAGACGTCGTGGGACTCGCCCAAGCTGCTGCCAGCCCCAGCTTTCCTTCTCACTGCTAAGGAGTGGCTGCCCGAGGGTGGAGATGCGCCCCAGGTCACCTGTCCTTCCTGCTGCCCACGGGCACTTGCGCTGTTTCTAACTTTTGGTTATTATTAAAAAATATTCTGAACATTTTACACCAGGCTTTTAATAGGTGTTTTGTTCCTCCTTTGGAGAGAAATTGCTGGACTGTAAGATAGACGTGTAGTTAACACATTAAGGAGCCCCAGCGTCAGTTTTCCAGGGGGTTGCACCATCTCAGTGCACACGTGAGCTCAGGCTGCTCACTATATGATGTTGAATCTCAAAAAACAATATAAAAACACGCCTGTAACCTCAGCAGTGAGGAGACTTAGAAAGGAGATCACTATGAGTCTGAGCTGCATAGTGAGACCTGTACCAAATACAGAATAATTTTTAAAAATTAAAAAGAAGGGCCAGGGAGATGGCTCAGTGGAATAAGCGCTTCCCTGGCAAACGCAAGGGCCTGAGTTCAATCCCCAGTTCCACCAAAAAAAAAAAAAAAAAGAATTAAAAATACCTTAAATATAATGTACAAGACCCCCAAAGATGCTTACCCTACGGTGCATATAAGAAGCCATTTTCCTCTACCCCAACTCATCGGTGACGCAGTCCGCTGAGTTCTGTCCACCCGGGAAGTGATGCTGTTCCACAGGCTGCATCTCTTTTACTTTCCTACTAGTGAGCACTTTTCAAAGTCACTGACGATTTGTACTTCTTCTGTGAACTGTTCACAGAGTTGCCACCTTTGTATTATTTATGCTTTTTTCTAGATTTATAGGAATACTTTTTCCTGTACATGTTGCAAAATATTGTCTCCTAGTCTACTGTTCGTAATTTGACTTTTTAAATAATTGCCATTGTTATGTACAAGTTTTTAATTTTTTTCATGTAGTAAACTCTATCAAGTTTGGTTTTTTAGTATTTGCATTTTGTACTTAGGGACTTTTGCATCCAAAGGTTCTGATTTTTTTTTTCTTCTTGGTACTGGGAATTGAACTCAGGATCTTGTGCTTGCCAGGCAGGCACTGCGCCACTAAGCTATATCCCTGGCCCAGGTCCTAAATATATTATCCTGTATTTTATTCAAATGGAATGCGTATTTCATTTTATATTTAGGTAGTAACTCATCTGGAGTTTATTTTTGTGTGTAGCAAAAGATTCTTGGCCAGGCAAAATTCCTGTTCTATTTATTGAATGGTCAGTTTCTCTGTGGTACTTTCCATGAATGCCTGTTTATGTCCCATACTAATTTTCATACAGACAAAATCTGAATCTGGACCCTGTTCTGCCCCCACTGAATTTGTGTTGGGTCAGGAAATCGCCTCCTTACGTGCTGCTACAACTTTAGGATAGCTGGTGGAGTAAGTTCTAATTCTTCAAGTTCTTGTCTGTTTTTCAAGTTGCAAATTGTTGAGCTTTCAGGTAGGATTCCAACGAACTTGCAGATTCATCTGCAGACAATGGACCTCTTTAGAAGCACGACGCTTCTGGCCCATGACTGCGATGCAGCCGTCTGCTGAGCCAGTTCCTGTTTGTACACTTCAGCTCCTGGAGGTCTTATGCACTTTAGGTTCCTCTTAATTGTAAGCAATATAGGCCTTGCTGTTATCTTGGGTGGCATCTTCAATATTCCATTTCACCAGGGTATTACCAAAGAATAAAAATCATTGCTTTTCATACATGATGTTGCCATGTTCCCTTAGTGTTTAAGAGTTTTCCTTTGGATTTTCTATGTAGCTGGTGAAAACATCTGGAAATTAAAGCCCTTAATATTACCTGTGAAATGTCTATAACTTTTATTTCTTTTTATTGCTTCATTGCAATGGCTATTTTTTTTTCTGGTTCAAAACTGAACAGTAAAGGGCTGGTCAAATAGCCCAGTGGATTAAAACACCTGCAAGTGGGTACAGGGGGCAGGCGTTTGATCTCCAGGCCTGCCTTGCCAGCCCTGCCCCTGGGGCG